GTATCCAAATTTTAGGGCGCAATCGCGGCCTCTGACAATTCGGTAGGGTTGAATGAGGTCACCGCGTAGTTGCCTGTAATTGATATGAAGCAAATCTAGCTTAATCAATCTGCCTTTAATTCATGTATGCTGATGTAGCGATATAAGGTACCAGTGAGGTAGCCAAATACGTGAGATCGGGAATTAGGCAGTGAAACGAATATACACCCCTGTGCCTTATATTAGGGTATCTTAATAAAGTTAAAGAAGAATAAGGGACAAAATCTGGAATTCTTGATGGATTTCAGACAACTGACACAATTGAGTGTATCGAACAAGTAACTACTACGGTTATTCAAGGAAGCGGCTAGTCACCAAGCTTTTTACGTGCTGGATCTTACATTGCAGCCACAGCAGAGTGGACCTAATCTGACAGTTGATAATATGCCTTGGTCCTTTTATTACAGGCCAATGGAACTCACGCCCAACTTTCACTCCGTGTTAGTGGTGTTACCATTTTTTTGCATAAATATTTATGATTTAGAAAAAAATACTGTTTTCTCAATCCTAACATCATTGCTACTGCGTCTTCGATCTCGAAGCTCATTCCAAATATGCTTGCTTTTGGACATCGAAAGGTATTTTGGTTGTGTGTGTATACAGATCTACAGTTTTGACCGAAAATCCTGTGTTGAATACAAAGCAAAATGCATCTCGTCACCAGGACCAGTTTCGTTCTTCCATGTTATTTTCCAAACGACAGCGAGAGTTTGGATAGCCGACAATGAATAAGCTTCAGTTTTTAAGCAAAACTTATGGAATAGTCCGAAGGGGAAGAAAATGCTGGTAAGTTTAGTAGTTCTTAACGGTCATATAATTTATTAATGGTTATGACTTCGTACCATTTTAATGGGTATGCCCGCACTATTGTTATAAACCACTGTTGTACTACTTCGCGGCACTTTTAAAATCCCGTCGGCATGTCGAAGCGTGGTGAGTGGGGTGTAATGTTTTTTAAATTTATTAATTATGAGGGAAGGAAGCTTGCTGCAACGCATTTTCTTTTTTAAGGACGTGGTGGAGCTTCCGGAGGAAAATTCCGCATCTCTCTGGGTCTCCCAGTCGGAGCTGTGATCAATTGTGCCGATAATACTGGCGCTAAGAATCTCTATGTCATTGCCGTTTTCGGTGTCCGTGGTCGCCTCAATCGTCTTCCCTCCGCTGCAACAGGTGACTGTGTCGTTTGTTCAGTGAAGAAGGGCAAGCCGGAACTTCGTAAGAAGGTTTGGCAAGCTGTGGTTATAAGACAACGGAAATCATATCGGAGAAAGGACGGGACCTTTATATACTTTGAAGATAACGCGGGTGTTATTGTCAAAGCGAATGGTGAAATGAAGGGTAAGTTGCCCGATAGCATTTCATCTTTTTAAATACTTAACATCGCACGCCAAATTGCGCTGCGGTTTCCGACATCGCCCAGACAGCATGCTACACTGATATGCCGATTATTTAACGTTTCAAACATTGGCTACACTTACTCATTTGTGTTCATTATGGCTTCAAAATAATGGCAACAGCGCATGCCAAATTGCGCTGCGGTTTCCGACGGCGCCCAGACAGCATGCTATACTGATATGCCGGTTTTTTAATATTTTAAACATTGGCTACAGCAATTCATTTATGCTCACTATAGATCTAGGTGCTTGTCGCGATATGGTTTGCCTTGGAAGACTTAGCACCGATGAAATTGTTTCCTTCTAGCCTTCGCCATTAACACTTGTGGTGGCCGATCATATGTTACCGTAAATGGGAGATTTCGGAGTTCTACCGGTTCTCCGTTGTCCGAGGTATTCTAGTATAAGACTGTCAAAAGAGCCTTGGAGCTCATTTGCCTGACGGGAAAGTCTTAGTTTAACTAACGAAGTACGTTTGTATAGTGCGTCTTCACTGAAGATTGACACCACGTAAGCCGCAGTCTGAGTCACTATAAATCAAAGTCCAAGAACACGACTAACTAATATTGTTACTTCGAGATTCATCCCGTGACAAATAAATGCACTTTTTTCTTTTATGTATCCGGGCTATTATGACTGCAAGCAGACGAAATGCCTAAGATCGAGCTTCAGTGGCTCCGTCAAGTATCTATTACATGTCCCGTGAGGTACTACAAATAAGGTTCAGTGTCGGTGGCCCAGGAAACGAGACGCTTATCATGTCTAGAAAGCTTAGCTTTGTCAGCAACCATGTTCACGTTCATGTGCGATAGTCGAACGCATGGTGGGAGGCAAAAGATCGAGGTAGACGCGACATATGTTTGACCTACCAGAAATAAGCTCTATCTACAATTACATTAGCGTCCACTTAATAGGATTTCGATATACCACGCTAAGTGGTATGGTCGACTTATCCAAGGGAATGGGTGAGGTACCTCCGTCACCGTTATTGAGCATCCCTAGCACTGATACTTCCTTTTTGACTGCCCGGGCAAGCGTATCCAGTTTCTACGTGCATTTTGACATGGCTATCTTGTTTACATAATTTATTTTGTGTTATGTTCTACTTGCAAAGCCCAGTGGCTTGTTTCATATTGGTTAAACCTCGTCTCTTTTTGTTGTAGGTTCTGCCATTACAGGTCCTGTCGCAAAAGAATGTGCAGATATGTGGCCTAGAATAGCATCCAACGCGGGATCTATTCATTGATTTGTAAAATACATATTCTGGCAAATTATTGCGGTGGACAGTCTGTTTTTGACCCTCCTCTCCTAGAACGGTAGTAGCTTTTAAAAGGCAGTCTAGGCCATTGAGAGACCGGAATCTGTTTGGGTAAAAAGATACACCACCATCGTCAGGACTGCGGGTTAAGGACTTGCTCATGTATGTCAGGCAACAAGCCAGACGTCGCTCACCCTTGCTGGTTCGTACCCACGAAAAACCAAGGAGATTCGGAGTTTTGGTCGTGCAACTTGCGGCATTTCATATGGTGACTTGTCTACTTAGCTCCGGATACATCCACCTAAATCTGAATTCAATAGTTAGTCGAACTATTTTCACACCATACGTAAATTTCGATTTCTGTAAGGACAATCGCGGCGGCCGACGTCTCAGACATCGGGACCGTACTCATCAGAGTTGGTTGGTTCGTATACTTACCGGTATATAAGACCTTTCTGCACCAGTAACCCGAGTTTGTGGCAACAGGTCAGGCGCCGGTTGATGCTTTAACGCTGGAGAACAGGCGACTGCAGCTAATGACTTGCTGAAATGTCTGGTTCTTCTATTTATAACGAGTCGTGTTTACTGCCGTTTAGGGGTGTTGTGATCCTGAGACTAAGGAGTGCAATGCGTGTGACCAGTCAACCTCTGCGAATGAGGTAACCGTCTTCTTCATATACTGACTTCAGGTGGTCAGGAGATGAGTAAATTGCACACAGATTTTGTTCAGTCTGACCAATTGCAGCTTATACACGGGATGTGACACGTTATCCCAGGTTGTCGTCCCGGATTCAGGTCTTTGATTTCCATCGCTCTTCTACGGGTGATAAGCTCCGGTCGGTGTGTAATTTCAACACCCTAGTCCCGTAGGGATGCACCCACTCGCTTCTAGGACGTCCCAGATCTATGACAGGAGGGGCCATATTCTTGGTGGCATTTTTTGCTTGTCCTCCGAGGCTGAAAACGTAAGCATTAGCTAAGAAGCCCCTTCCGATGGCCACTCTCGGGTATGTAGGACCTCGCAATCGTTTCCCTTAGGCCTACCAAAATGAGTCTGACTCCATAGTGAGATGTAAAGGCGTTAAGTTAGCATGACACGTGGAGGCAAGTCCTCATCAGATCGATTACGTTCGCTAATTCACAGGTAAAAAGGTATGAATGGATTCCAGCTGGTCTCTAGCCCGCAGCGTTCAACCACCCA